GATATTTTACAGCAAAAATTTTCTAAATATTTAAACCTGTTATTGGTAAAAATTAAATGATATACGAAAGAAAAACAAAGAAGTCTTATTTTTGATAAGAATAGTTTCTAGTTTTTGGGATAATTCTTCAAGTTCAAATTGTGTAACTTATTATCATTCATTAAATTATAATATCATTTTTATTATCAAAATTATATAACTTACTTGCTAGTATCAGAAATTGGATCTAGTATAATAATTATTTTAATTATTTTGACATTATTTTCATTTAGAAAATAATATATTAGAGCGTGCAGTAAAATTTTTCACATCCTCGATTTCAACAATTGCATTACATTGTAATCATCTTTGTCATTAAGTTCGGTAAAATTTTGAGATAATTTGAATTCCTTTTTTTTTAAAAAAAAAAATACTGTGTTGGTACAAAAGTAAACCATATTTTTATTTTTATATAGTGGCTATTATAAATCAAGGAAGTATATCTCGTGCAAAATTTATTGATAAAATAATAATTGGAATATTTTCTTTTTGTAGATAATAATTACTTAATAAAACTTAATTCCTCATCAGCAAAGATAAATCTATATGAATTTTCTATTTTTTTCATTCCTAATATATATTAAATATATTTACGTCTTCTTATTGATTTAAATGTAATTTGTTTTTGAGACATAAAGTTAAGTGTAACTTAATGTACATATAGTCATCATTTGTTTGTTGAAATCTGTTTTAATTGAAATGATTTTCGCCACCTCAAGGTGAAGAAGAATATATGTCACGAATTATTTAAGAATCAGTGAAAAACCAGTGGAAGTAAAAGGAATGTCAGAGGTAAACAGATATTTTTAAAACTTGAAATTTATTCGTGAGAAATCTGGAATTCGAGATCATTATGAAAGATCAAATTTATTGAATATACAATTAAACGAGTACGATTTAACATCATAAAAGAATTAATTAACAGTTTTTCAAATACCATGACTTGTAACTTGCGGCTCTAGGTTGAATTTTTGGATCAAAAAACAAGGATTTTGAATAATACCATCGTCAAATGCACATTAATAAAATTTTTAATTTTATAAATATTCTAAATATTATTCAGAATGCTATAGATCATATAGATCAAATACTTTTGCAGATTAGAATCTCCGGGTTTTTCTCTTCAAAATGATGGTTGGAGTTGGCTTAGAGAAGTTTTATAAATATGAAATCAAAATATAAACTTCAGATGATAATATCTCAACAATCAATGATTGTTTATTTGAAATGAATAAATATTGATTAAGTTATTCTTCTTAAAGTTAAGGATAGTACCTCGACTAATTTTACTTGATATAAGGATAAAAATTATCTATTGTAGTTACATATAAAAAATTAAGACTGAAACATATTGCATCTACTTGAAAGTTTTAGATCTATTTCTCAAGAATTAAAAGTATAATGAACATTATGAATTTTAGATAAAAATTTTTAAAACATTTAAATTTTAATCAATAGATTTAAAACTTTCATATCAAATTTGTTTAATTTTATTTTTGATAATTAATTAATTTAAAAATAGTTTATATGTAGTCATGATAGATAAAATGTTATCTCTGACAAGAATTCTTGACTTGGTACAGTAATTGCAGAAATATTTTGCTTATAAATTTTTTTTTTTTCCATAATTTATTTTTGGTAGCCGTAATTTATTTTGGCAGCTCGGTTATAATCTATTTTGGCAATTATAATACCTAAATTAAATTTGTTATTCATTCATTCATTTTCAATTTTTTTTTTATTATATTGTACATTATCCACCAAATTTTTCTTTACAGAACAAAGGATTTTAGTAATATTCTAATATCAGCTATTCTGGCAGGTGGTGATTGAGTCACATATCTGGTGTCTAACGTCATTATATTTATGTTTGTACCTCCAATTTTATTGATAATAAAGATGTGTAGCTACCAAATTTCAAACTAGTAATGTAAGTAATCTTTATTTATATTTATGATATTTTTTGATGAATTTTAATATTTTTATTTATTTATTACTTTTTGGAATAGAGATATAAATACTGCAAGAAATATAAGTAAAATTTTTAGATATATGTAATAATTTGGAAGAAATCACAGTCATACAGGTTGTATACTAGATTCCAGTAGGGTTGTCTGGGTGGAGAATGATGACATCCACAAAGCTATGTGGACTAATAATAACAATTTGAATAGTATATAAATTCTATAAATAAATCTCCTCTACCAATAATTTCTTTTAATAAATTCATCTTAGTCTTGTTAATAACTATTAATTGTCATGGGATATTATTTGTATTATTTGTAATAAAACAAGGGAATTGTGTCCAATCGATGTATGTATACGAAAAAGATTAAAATGTCAACAAATAATACAAAATAATAATAATAATAACACGAAACATAATAAAATAATAAAAATATGCACCATTTAGGTTATCCTTTATTTATGGTGACTACAAAATATATAATTTCAAAATTCCAAAAAAAATTTTAAGGGAAAAATGTTTGTTTTATCTGATCTCATTTACTTTATTTAGTTTTTTACATTCATAAATTTCACATTGGATAGGTAACTTGCATCTTCGCTGATTCATATCATATAATCATATCATACGAAATTACCGTTCTTTGTATTTCTTTCTTTTTGGTTATTAGTAATCTGCATTTAGGATGGATAATTTTATTTGTTATACAGTATTTAAAATATTTGCATAATAATAAGATAACAAACATAAGCCGAATCATAAACGCGCGCGCGTAATGCAACTTTATTACAGCATTAAATAAATTTAAACTGACAAATTAAAATAATAGATTAAGTTATAAACTTTATCAATTTGTCATACGGCTAATTTCATCACTTTTTGTAACTAACGCTCGATATATTTTTCTCTTAATACTTTATTCCCCGATTAGAAATTATGTATGTTATGCAGGAGAAAAAAAATAGGAGAAAAATATTAAATAAGATTATTAACTGTGCAATAATGGTTACATCTGTTTAACAAATTTGGATATAAATTTTTTAATTATTATTTAAAATTTAATTAAAACTAATTAAAAATGGCTTTTGTTAACTAAAAATAAATATAAGTGATGCATATAATATGCAAATGTCACAATTTGGAAGAATTATTTGTTATCCAATTTTTGAGTAATCTTTGGTTATTTATTTATTTCTTGTTTTTCAAATAAAAAATTGAAATAAATACATTAAATAAATAATTATGATATATTTTGACATAATGTACTTGTACATTACTGTAGTAGTTTAATTCAGATAATTAGCATTGTCGATCAAATACTCCTTAAATAAGTCGATAAAATAAATTTATTATTATGAAATACAGTGTTCAGTACTGAATTCTTTTAATGCCAAAAAAACATAAGAACATAAAGAACGTAAAGAGATATCACAAACCATTATTTCGTGATTATGAATAATTTATACAGTATATATTTATTATATGCATAGAAAATAAAAAAAAACCACGTCTATTAACTGCATAAGCAAGCGAACTATTATTTTATTGTTATCTTAATTATTGTCTATTTATAATTATAAAATTCAATTTATTCATCTTAAATTTTTATAATAAAAATCGTATTATTGATTTTTTTTTTTGGGGGATATTCTTTGATGCAACTTTTCTAGTTGATTTTATTATTAAATTATATTAAATTCATTTCTTTGTAATCAAATTGACATTAAAATGTTTCAAGTTCCAATAAAATTATTATGGAATTAAGATCCCGACACTTTTAATGAAATCTAAATAAGCAAAATCATTTTATTAAAATGAATTTACAAATCAAGTAAAAATTAAAGTAATCATATTATAATATTGAACAATATTGAGTCTACGTGTTTTTTTTTTTTAAAGAAAACAAATCAAAGTTAATTACATTATCCTAAATAACTATCTGTGAAATCGATTTGGAACGTTAGACAAAACGAATCAATATTCATGATTTCATTGATTAAACTCAATATTAAGTTCAATATTAAGTTTTGATTTTGGATTTTTTATTCTATTTTAATCAAAAAAAAACAAAAACAAAAACCTTCTTTGATAAAAAAACTTGATTTTGTGGAATTATATAATACATTTATAATACAATGAATATATAGATATCTATTTATGTATAAATACATTTTCTGTCAGAAATGTGAAATTAAAACATTTTGCGAATATACAGTACATATATGCGGTCTACATATTTATTTAGTTTTTCCTAATTTGGTTTTATTTAACCTTTGCCCTATAATATTATGTCTGGTGTTCATAACGGATAATATTATTATGTGTGTTATGACCGTTCTTCTATTGATCTATGCGATCCTTTTATGTGTTCATTAAAGTGTATTTATCATGTGTTCTTTTACGATAAAAAATTTTTATTTACAAGAATAAATAAAGAAAAGAATACATGTAGTAGAAAAAAATGTGGGAAATATAGGAAATATATAAAATAAAATAATTAAATAATTAATATAAAAATATTAAATTAATGAATAAATTAAAATGAATAAATTGGATGAATAAATTAAAAAAAAAGAATAAATTTTGGTTTCTCCTTTACGTGCATAAACCGTTATTTTATATTATATTTTTACAGTAATATTTTATGACACATTTATCACATTCACAACATTTATCACATTCATCACGTTCATCGAATTTATCACATTTACCACATTTAACATTTACAATATATCACCAGTAACCTATCAGAAATGCACGATATAAATTACTCCATACAGTACAGTATACTGCGTGTATGTGGCTCTTATTAATATTATCATATATATTTTTGCATCGCATATTTGTATATTATGGAGAAAATTTAAAAAACAATAATTCAAATTTTTGAAATATACGAAATATTTTCCGATTTTGCTACGCATTATGATAACCTCTTATTTATTTATAAAGTACAGCACATGTGAGTATATATATTCATAGAAGAGATTGCGATTTAAACCCAATAAATAGTATTAGAGCATTTTCGTAAAATAAGTTCTACGACTTCTTGTTTTTCTACACTAATACCTAACTTAAATCCTCGCACTTTTAATGATTCTGACAAATTGGCATTTGGCCATTGCATAAGCTCTACCTTATTATTTTTGATGACATCCAGTTTACGAGTAGCATTAGGCATAATAATCATTTGATCAAAGGAAGGATCTTTTTTGATATCATTTATTTCTCGTATTTCATCATAACCCAATTCTTTACACAAACTCATGAGAACATCATCTGTCTTGGCAAAGATTCGTAAAGTCGCCATATTGTCTAATGGAGTTTTTTGTAAATTAACAATGATAAGGGGTTTTCCATTTCTGACTGTGATCTGTGGAAGTTCATTAGCAGGACTTACAGTTAAAGAAGAGCCTAATACTATGTGGAGGTCAGAGAGACCAGATTGACGATAGGCCTCTTGAAGAACCCTTTCGGGGAGACCTTCGCCAAAGTTTACAATTGTGTCTTCAAGATTCGCTAGAATTATTTTCATGAAAAAAATCATATTTGAAATTTCCAATTTCCAATTTATATAATTTTATATACCAAATGGTTTTGAAACAACCTACTTCCACAATAATCACATTTTCGAGAAGTTTTATGTTCATTCACACCAGCTGCTTCTCGAACTTTAAACTTTCTCCAAAAAGATCTTTCACAATTTTTACATTTCTCTATGTTTGAATTTCCGTGTAATTCTGATATAGCTGTTATTGGAATGCCACTTCGAACGTGAAGTCCATCTGTATTCTGTATTAGTTTAAAGATTAGCTGAAAATTTCAATAATTACACTTTAAAAACTTAACACACCTGTGATATCAAATATTTCATTTTTTCTGTTTCAAAAAATTTCATGATTGCCATGTGTCCCTTTGTAGGTTGGATTTCGGTAACTATTGGACGGGTGGCTTTAATCCCTTTCTCACGGAGAGTCCATACACCTTTAAGTTCAAAAATCAAAGAGAATCAAACGATTAGATTTAATTTATTGAATAGATGCTTGCTTAGATGGGGAATTCTTTATTACCTTGGGGACCTCGAAAATCCGGAATTCCTGAAATTCAAATTAATTTAGTACATCAATTATACATTTCTTTTATTTCTTTTAAAACTTACCAGCACTAGTTGACATTCCGGCACCAGTAAAATAAACTATATGCTGAGATTTACGAACAAGTTCTGCCATCCTTTTGATTTTTTCTTCCAGTTCTTTAGGGGTATCAAAGTATTCTGTAACTTTTTTGGGTACACCTAAAGAAGAAGTCATTTTTTAATACTCCGATACAAAATTTTGAAGTTTTTTTTTTTTTATATGGTTACATGCTGATTACTAAACAACAAATATAATATTACCAAATTCATATCATTACATTTAATTAGGTAATTTGAACTACATAAAACCTGATACAACAAAATACTAAAACTTTTGATATAAACTTTATTTAATTTAGATAAAATATAAGAATATACCAATAAATACTTCTTTAAAATAAAATTCTCTTAGTTTTCCTATTTGCTTTGAGAACTTCATAAGAAAATTGCCAGTTATATTATCCATAGTAAATTAAACGCAATTTCATAAGCATCGAATAAGATTAGGATGTTTCGTAACAATGTTATTGCAAAAATTTTCATAATCTTCAAAGTTGTTATTAATAAAGAATTAAATGATAAAAAAAGAAAAATGTGTTCTTAACCAAGAGGCTTTATCTTTGATAAGAATAGTTTTTGGATCAATCATCAAGTTAAAACTCATTAGCTGTTAGCATTAAGTCAAAAATAATTCTTGTTTCAACATTAATAATACCACTATAAATATATATACAAACTTAAGTCACGATCTGTGTAAGATCGACATTAATATGAGGCAATTATTCAATAATTGCAAGAAACGATAAAATCTTCGCGGATTAAATAATTTCAAAAAATTGAACTGAAATTTTTGGATTTGACATTATTTTCATTTGGGTAATAGCATACGAAAATAAGGCGAGCGACATTTAAGTATGTTAGAAGTGCAATAAAATTTTGATATCAATAATTACACTGTAATCATCATTGTCATTAAGAAATTCAGTAAAATTTTGAGATAATTTATCGAAAAATTTCAATGCCATTTTTTCTTAAATGAAATAAATTGTGGAATTGAAAGCAAAGTGTGAAAATTTTTATGAATTTCTTAATTTGTTAAACAGTTTTTCAATGAGAAATAAAACTATTTGTGTTATCTTTTATTATTATTAAATAGTAGTATAAAAATGATTTTTTAGACAATCTGGCAAAATAACTGATTTAATTGATACATAAAAGAGTATTCAATGATATCGTATAATTATTAGCGAAACATCTTGTGAAAAAAATAAAATAATAATCTTAATGAATCGAAAAAATAATAATTTTTATGTTTGATGGTTGTTGTAGAAAGATATTTGTATTTATGGGAATAAATGTTGATATTAGATAAAACATAATATTTAAATATACATTATTCGAATCTTACAAATAATATATACATAATGCATCATACACAATAATGATATATAGCACACAAATATCATATTTAACAACAATAATCATAACTTGTAATATATTCTCACCACTACCAAACATAATTATATATGCAATTTCACTTTTTCTATATGACAAAAAACACGAAAATTCGCGTAGAGATTATTATTATTATTTATTATACTAAATACGCATATAAAACTTTATTCTTTTATTTGTATTTATCAACTAATCAACTTACCAACATACGGAAATGTGAAAAAAATTATTCATCATGTGAAATACTTGAAATCCTTCAAAAAAATCAAGTTTCGCGTTCATATAATTATATATATTCTAACTAATTTTGTATTCTTTGATTTTTTATTTTTCAACAAAAATCAAATGACTAAATATCTTCATAAAAAAAAACTGTTCGTTTACAAAAAAAAAGGAAGAACGATAAGTTATTAAATTTTATTTACATTATTTACAGTATATTGTATATTAATAATATTAATAAATATATTCGAAAGAATTTCCAAAATTAGTATATTTTACTGATGTGGTGGATATAATATGTCATAATATCATTTTACACTATGTTTAAAAAAAAATTTTTGTATACAGAAATTACGTTTATTCTTCTAACTTAAAAAAATGTCTTTAAAATTTCTTGAAAAATTATCTCAAGATTTTACTGAACTTCTTGATGACAATGAATGTAATGTTATTATTGAAGTCGGCAAAGACACAAATAAGAAATCCTTTACTGCAGACTCAAACGTCTTGCGTTATCGATCATCCTATTTTAAGAATGAATTGACAAATACTAAAGCAAATGAAAATAATATTAAAATTTTTATCAAACCAATATTTCTTCTCAAGTATTTGAGATTATTCTTAAGTAAATTGAATATACATGTACAGTATTTTATACTTTATATATTATATAACTTTGATTATTAAATACAATTGCTTTCATACAATAACAGTGATAATAATGATAACAAATAATATTAATCTATAATTTTCTAGATATATTTTTGGCGGATTTTTCGTAGAAATTGCGGATACCAATATTATTTATGAATTGATGATAGTGACTAAAGAGTTGAAATTTGAGGAACTTTCCAAGAAATTAGAAAGTTACCTTATTGAATCCAAAGTTTCTTGGTTAAGAACCCATTTTTATTTTTAAAATCAACAAATTTAAAGATTTGAAAAATTTTTATAATAATATTATTGCAAAGTATCCAAATCTTATTTTTGAATCTGAAGATTTTACATCTCTTCAAGAATTAGCATTAATATCTATTTTAAAGAATGATGACCTACAGATGGAAGAAGGAAAAATCTGGGAATATATTATCGAATGAGGAATTTCTCAGAGTCCTAATTTACCTGTGAAATTAGAATGGTCAGATGAGAATTTCAAGACTTTGAAAACTGCTCTCCAAGAATATTTACCACTTATTCGTTATTTTCAAATTTCAAAAGCAGATGTTATGGATAAAGTTAAACCTTATAAGAAATTCTTGATGAACAACATTGGGATGATTTGATGTAATATCTCATACTTCCAGATCGACCAATTAAATCAATTATTTTTCCAGCACGATCTATTTCAGTTCGCACAACATTACCTCCAAGAGAAAATGAATCATTTTCAACTATAACAAAGAGGAATACGCATTAGAGATTTCATCATGGATTGATCACAAATCGACTCCATATTATTCACAAGAAATGCCATATGAATTTAAATTGATATTAAGAGGAAGCAGAGATGGTTTTGCTCCACAAATATTTTTGGATATATGCCATGATTATGCTAACACTAGCCATTTTAAAAATTAAGAGAACAGATGACGTATTAGGAGGATTTAATCCATAAATATGCTGATAATGTTTGGAGAAAGACAAAAGATAGTTTCATATTTTCATTGAAAAATGGAAATATTCAAGATTCTATTCTTAGTAGAGTAAATTATCCTAAAAGTGCACTTTATTATTATGATGAACGACATATATATGGGTTATGTTTTGGAGATGATGATCTTATAATTATAATGAAATCAAAAGTATCAAAATTTTCACAAGATAGTTTTTGTTGGTGCAGTGAGAGTGATCATTTTGAAAAATCCATTAGAACAACAGATGAATTTTTTTCAATAATTGACTATGAAATTTTTTAAATCATTAAAAAATAATATTTTCTATGAAATATTCACGTATTATTTTTTAGCTTTTTTATCTTTATAAATGTTAGTTTTTATATATAAACTATTAAGATAATTTATTTTATACGTTAATTCTACAATTATTAATAAATAAGTCATTCTTTATTATTTAAAAAATTAATCATATAAAGTTGGTTTGGATAAAAAAAATAATATTTTGATATCACTCTAATGTTTTATCTAAATTTTATTTCCACATTTATAAATTAATAGTTTCCATCCTTTCAATAAAAAAAATTATAAGTTATCAATTAATTACAAAAAAATTTAATTATAATTATTGAAATATTGAAATTTAGTTAATTGTAATTTAAATTTGCATTCAAATTTAAATAATGTAGAATTTAAATGATTATATTTAATATAATTTTGATATGGTACCGGAAGTCTATACTAGACAATAAAAATAGTAACGCATAAAAATCTATTAACACTCTAAAAAAGGAAATTTTAAAAAGTAAACCAGTAACTTTGTTCTTCAAGGAATGCTCTGTCAAATTACCGGACAGATTTTCAATTAAAAGCTTATATCAAAAGTTATAAGCATTTAAGTTACGTGATTCGGAGGTAATTTGAAACAATGTCTAGTTATATGAAAGTAATTTTATTGGTCAGAATTTTTAAAATTTATCTTAACATCTTGATTATTTAACATTATTTTAAATGGCGCCTAAAACAAAAAGGGTTGACAAATTACACAGAAAAAAAGGCTGTTACATATCTCAAGAGTCAGCAATTACGAATGAAATTATTAATTTGGAAGAAGGTGAGGCCGTTACAATAAGTGAAACTAGTTATTGAACTGGAGAAGACTTATGTAAGAGGAGGTGGAAAAAAGATTTATTAATGAAGAAAACTTAAGAGAATTTGAGGAGACAGAAAAAAAACTTATTAATGAAGTTCTTCATTGGCATAAGGGCTCTGCAAGTAACATTAGAACAGTGTATACTGAAACTTCAAGAACTACTACCTGGAGGCAAGAAATTAGAAGAAAAGAATTAGAAAACGATGCAAAGGGAATGAAAGCACTTGATACATTTTTTATAAATAAACAATTTACAGATCCTTCCACTGAGAATAATTTACAAATGTGCTTAAAAGAAATAAATCAACAATGCTTAGTATCAAAATCTGTAAAAACAAATAATAATGTTTTTACTTATAATTATTTATGCTGTCTATGTATATACAATTATTATTGGATGGATGAGGTAAAAATGGACACAAGCAATCAGATTGCACAAACTATGTGGAACAAAGGTAATTATATGGCAAGATGTATTCAAAAATGGATCTCATTTTATACAAACAGGAGAACTTCTTGTTTATTAACAAGGAAAACATACAAAATTAGAAAGTTTGTTAAATGGAGAAAATTTTAAAGAAAGCTGTCAATCATGGAAACCAGAATCACGTTTTCATGGAAACTTGAAAATATATACTGAAGGAATATTATTTCAGAATTAATAGCCATATTAAAAAAGACACAATTCCTGAAAAAATCTGTTGAAATTATATACATTTGTGGAAATATAAATATGATGAGAAAAAGAAGGAAATTTATTATGATGGACATGAGCAATTAGATGGTGTGCCATATAGGAAGGAATGGTTAAAAAGAATGTTTGAATATTAGAATTCATGAAAAATTTTAGTGGTGATATGTTGGATATTACTATAGAACCTCAGCTTAAACCGGAAAAAAAAGGAATTAGTTCAAGTTACACATGATGATGCTACCCTTCTAAACCTTTAACTTTATAGAAGGGTAATGGTGACTAAAACTTAAACTATTAAACTAATTTACTACTTTATAAATCACACAAATATAACTTAAACTAATAATTAATAAAAATAAGAAGAGTTTATGTAAAGGAATTATATACAGTCAATTATGAAAGAGGCAATTTAACTATTAAGAGTGGTATGAGGACTTGTTAATAGGCAGTGTATCAATTAACAATTAACACTTGTAATAAATTAGAACTGTAATGTGAAAAAGTATTTTATTACAATTCTAAAACTCAAACTATGACTGACTAATTCTACTCTAACTATTGAGACTTGGAAGAAATTCCAGCCTTTATATATATTATAATTTTAACCTAATTCTATATATGTAACTATGTCTAAATAATGATCTGTATTTATGTCTATAAGTATGCCTATAGTTTATCCTGTACTTATGTCTAAAGATGTATGTCTAAACCTATGTCTGTATTACAGACTTACATGTTGTTACAAGAATTTAGGATATAGCTATTTTGAGTAATAAATAATAATTCATATACATATTTTGAAATTGATCTACTAGTAACTATAAGACTAATAGATAATAAGATAAATAATAACAAAAATAGAGAATAATAATATATAAAGACTAATAAATAAATAATTAATTAAGAATAAAATAAGATAAGGAAAAGAAATAGAAAAGCAAGGTAATAACAAATGTCATTTTTATGCAAATGATGGTCAACAAAAAATTTGGATAAGAAATAATAAAGATCCCCTATGTTCAAAACACCTGAGACATTCTATTATGGTCTCAGCTTTTCTTTGTTCATGTTATGGATTATCATGATTATCTAATAAACAATTGCATTTAAATTCACATATCAAAAATAAAGAAACTTTTATTCTTCATTCTACTCAAAAGATTGATACTGGAAATCTGAACATATGTTAGATCAGGTATGAATTTATAAACCTTTAATTAGAGTTTAAAAGATTTAATAATTAATTTTTTTTTTTATAAATGTAGCTTGTACATCAAGCAATCTCTATATTCAACATATTGCATCCTAATTTTGTTGGAATTTTTTGTTTTAATCAATCTACTAATCATAATGCAATGGCAGATGATGCACTAATTGCAACAAGAATGAATTTGGATTCAGGAGGAGGGCAACCTAAAATATGTGATAGTTAGTATTTTAATGAAAATGAAAAGAAGTATGTACAATCAATGATATTTCCTAATAATTATCAATTAAAAGCAAGTACTTAAAGAACATAACCTTTGGCCAACAAAAGGAATCATTTAATATGTGATCAATGTTTTGGAAAAAACAATAATGCTAATTTGGAAAGATTTGATTGTTGTGCATAACAAATTATGTTATCATAACCTGATTTTCTTGAACAATAATCAATATTAGAAGAAGCAATAATCACAGGTCAAATACAAAAAAATTACTTTACCAAAAAGGAATTCCAATCTTGGCTGATTTATAATATAGGATGCAATAGAACAGTCAATTTTTACTGATTTTTAGCTAATCTATAATATAGAATTATTATTTGATACAGTGATTCTTATATATTGACTAGTGAATTAAATCAAATCATATTTTCAAATGATATCCAAAATTTCATTATGAATGTAACTTTATTGAATGACATTGGGATTTTGGAAAACGGAAAACAAGATGACAATGCATAGTGGATCTCCTTTATAGTCACCCCCTATACAATCACATCATATAAATTCCCACTTATAAGTACACCTTTCATAAGGACTAATACTTAGTAATACTATATAAAAATCTTTCTATATGGTTATAATCACACCTTTTATTTTTTGTTTCTATGGTCCTGAGGAGTGTCTTGTAGAGGAGGTTCACTGTAATTATAATTATACTGATTTATTAATGTAGGTTCCAGAAGTTCTCATTAGTGTCCCCACAACAACCATTCGTAAGTTTGCTTGCAAGTTATAAAGGTCACAAATTTATATAATAAAGAGCTAGAAGGTAGAACTGTGGAATGGGCTGTTAACAAATATAAATTGCATCATCAGTTACCTGAAAATATTGAAAGAATAATTGATCAGCAAGATAAATAATAACAATAATAAAGAATAATAATAATAAAGAACAATAATAATGAAGAATGGAAAAAAGGCAAAAATAGATTGAAGTTTTTTTTTTATTTGATCAGTTGAAATCTAAGTTTCATTATTGACCCAATTTTTTTATTGGCTAATTGTATATATCACATTATACATGATCTTCAACAGAAAATTGCTCAATTTTCTCATGTCACGTTTTTCGTATGACTATTCACATGTTTCGCCGATTTCGCAAAACCAGATTAACTTTATTTAGAAATTTAATTTTTCTATTATTTGAGAAAAAAAAATGAATGAATTAGAAAGACAAACTGTTTAAAAATGCAAAAGAAAAAAAATCAATATTATGCAATTATGTGTAGATGCTTTGCAATGGAAAATGAACATCTTGTTGTTAACAGTGGCAATAAAAAAATTGATAATTTCATAGATAGATTCTAGAATGGGCTCCATATGATGAATTTAAAAATATAGAATATATTGTGAAAGGCGGTTTTAGTCAAATTTATAAAGCAACTTGGAAAAAGCACAATGATATAAAGTACGATGGTACTATTCGTCGGTTAGAAATTGATGTTGTTTTGAAAGTACTAAATAATTCACAGAATATGGATACTGAATTTTTAAAAGAAGTAATAATTTTTTATGAATTAGTAACTAATTAATTATATTTTATTTTAATTCTTTTATTGCATTTGAAAATGCAGTTGAAACGTACATTTCAATTTGATAACATAATTAAATGCTTTGGAGTAACACAACTAAGAATTATGCTTTTATTTTAGAATATGCACAAGGTAGAGACTTGCATAATTTTGTATATAAAAACTTTGAAGAGAGAAAAAAATTATATTTTATTCTTATATTTTTTTAGGAATTTATAGAATTCATGGAAAGAAAATTATGCATCGAGATTTACATAATGGCAATATTCTTGTAAATAAAGATCATTCATGAGTAGCCAACCAGTATCTATTGGTTCAAGAAAATCTCAAATATGCGGAGTAATTCCATATATGGCTCCAGAATTATTTAAAAATCAACCACATTAATATGCATCAGAATGATTATGTGGGAATTGACATCTGGACATAGACCATTCCATGATCAAGAACATGGATCAAAACTTATATTAGATATTTTAGATGGAAAAAGACCAGAAATTACAGAAGATACACCAGAATTTTGGGCTAATTTAATGAAAAGATGTTGGCATTCTGATCTTTCACAACGACCAACAATACAAGAACTTCAACAACTTAATTATAATGCTTACGAGGTTAAAGAAGCTGAAGATAAACGACTTGAAATGATCAAATAAAAAAAAACCATTTGTAAAAAATTCATTATATGAGAATCTTAATTCCAGATATTACAGTACATTATTAAATTCTATGTTATCAGGCATTTAATTATTTTATGATTTTTTAAAATTAAATTAATTATAATAATAATTTTTTATTCTTATATATATGATTTCTATAGATTTATTTTCTAACAATAATTTGCTCTCTAATAATAATTTTGATATAATGAATATCAAGTAAGAATCATAATATTTTATATATTATTTTAATAAATCTATTAACGTAACTACCAATTATCTATATTTAATAATTTTCAAATAGTTCTAATCAAGAGAATAATTTTGAATATTCAAACTGTAATTCAAGTAATTCAAGTGTAGTAGAAAATTCCAAAAACATTTTTTAAATGAATTACTGCAAGAAAACATCGAAGATCAAAGTAATATTTTTAAATTTTAATTTTATAACAAAATTTATTATTATTACTATTAATTATTTTTATTAATTCGTGTTTTTATCAAACAGGTGCAGGTGACTTTAAACGAAGAAAAATTGTTGAATATTTTAATGAATGTTCGTAGATTTTCACTTTGCTTCGATCACATTCAATTAATTCAATTAGTTAATTTCAAGTGAAGAAGATTTTAGTGAAAGTTTTATTATAAATAATTGTAATTTTTTCTTGTAAATTTCTGTTTTTCATTTATAATAGATATCAACAAATATTATATCTCTATTTTATACGTTAAATTATTATTTTAATTATTATTTTTTACATTAGATATTATAACTACTTATTTATTTTATGTATAACTTATCTCTTTGATTATATGATTATTTATTTAATAACTATTAATGATAAATTTTCAATTTACATCAAATGCCTTTGCTAAAAGATTTAAAAGATTAAAATTTTTATAGACAATTAAATTCGTTTATTTTGATGTAATTGATAAAATTAATTAAATCTATCTTTGATGTCAGTATTATATCAGTTCAGTAAGTTTAATAAATTTGCACAAATCATCTTACAAATCAATAATATTTACATACTAAAACTTTACTTATAATATCTGTTCTAATAGTAGCCCCATAAGAATAATTATATCAAAACGTTAGCTATTATATACAATAATAAAGATAATATAGAATATGATTTTCTACTATATTGAAATCCTACAAACAACAAACTTTAATGCGCCACTGATATTTCTTATATACGATGATTATGATTAATTGTATCGCATGGTGATTATTTTTATAAGAGCCTTTCTGATGCTATTTCTTAAATATTGTATTGAATGACCATATATTAGAAACTGCTTTGGTGTTTAGAATAACGTTATTTAGGGGTATTTTTTTTTTAATTACTGTAACTGAGTTTATCATTGTCAAAGTAATTTCTATATAAAACATACGCATTGAAAATATATTGAAAATTTATTGTATTTCTTTGACAGCAAATTACGGTACTTATCTCAAATAAGTATATGATCCTCAGAATAGCCTCGTTATAGTTATAAATAAATACGTATAAGGGTATTCAAACGCAATGAATTTATAAAGCATATATATTTAAAGTATTGCGTGACAATTCCTATTTTTTGATCATACAGTATATGCGGGCGATATGTAATCAATCAATTTATAGGTTAATTATTTCTCGTTATACGTTTACTGATAAATTGATACGTACACGTACAATAATTGAGTATATTATGGCTTTATTATCAAAAATAAATTTACTAGAAACGAATAATCCGGAAATTTATTAATTGCCTACTCGATTTCCGAAAATTCTAAAAATCAAATCAAATTCTATTCTGACTATTTAATATTCGGTAGTGAAAAAGAAAGTTATTCTAACTTTTATCGGAATAATTAAATAAATTGATAAATTAGAAAAAGGTTAAAGAATATCTTGAAGAAATTCTATGTATTACATTAAATAGAGCTACTGAAATAGTATATGAGTGCACAAATGTCACCAATATAATAACTATTATATGGTAGTTATCAGCCGCAGTATGGAAACGGTTCTCCGTGCAAATTGTTGAAACAAGTAAGGCTGCAGCAAGCACCGGGGTTTCCCAAATCACATTGCGCACCTCGAGGAGCACATACGGCAAAGATGGATGTGAAGGTAGAGGTGGATGTGAGGGTAGAGGTGGATGTGGAGGTAGTGATGGATGTGGTGGTTGAGGTAGAGGTGGTAATTGAAGTGGAAGTTGGAGTAATGGTTGTTGTTATGGTACAAACTTTTGAACATGGCAAATAAACGGTTGGAGTGCAAAAGACGATCTTTTCGCATTTGTTATTATTATGACGGACATAGCTATCTTTTGTATCAGGAATGCAGATAACATTAATACGTCTGGGTACATAGGTGAAGGAGGGAGTGGTTGTGGTGGTGGTGGTGGTGGTTGTGGTGGTGGTGGTGGTGGCAGTGGTGGCAGTGGTGGTAATAGTGGTATCGATAGCGGTAATGGTAGATATGGTGGTAGTTGGAGATACGATGGTGATGGTGGTAAAAGGTTTTGGGCAATTTGTAGGATATTTCGTTTTGGTACAATGGCGTGTTTTGATGATGGTTCTACAGTTTCTGGCAGTTACTTGTGATGAGAATAAAAGTATTGAAGTAATTAAAGTAACCGTAGCGACGAGGAAGTTTCTATTTAACCAAATCATTGAGGATTTATAATATAATTTTGTATATAGGAAACTATCTTGATAAGATACAAAGGATAAATGTGCAAAATCTCGTGTATTTATGTTAAAATAATATGATTAGAACATGTTGAATGCATAAATACATGCATGTAATAATACTTGCTTCTCATATTTAAATTTGTGTTACTAACAATATTATTCCTTTTTCGGGGAATTCACGGAACGAATGCTTTCGTCCAATGGCGAATACTGGGAAGACCTAAGCAAAAGATTTCCAAAAAACTTGCCAACGATATTCTTTTTTGGAAAGATTTTTATGACCCCCGAAAAGATTGAGAATTTAATATAATCGAACACACCGTACTCAATACCATTCAGAAGAATAACCCACCACCCATCCAGAGAATAGCTGGCATTTATAATTTTTGAATATTTTTATAAAAGTAAAAAAATATAACAAAATGCAATTATTAAAGTCTTTTTTTTTTGAAAAAATGCATTTGTAACAACTTACTGTTACTCTGCAGTTAGTCAATGATGATATTTAGCACATATTTTTATTGGTTGTACTAAGAGTAGTTACATGTAATACAAATTACTTCCTCTTATGGGGGTAGGCTAAAGCGGAGTAGAATCATGTGAGGTGATTTCGGGTTAAGGCGGAAGTGTGATCGTATCACATGTATAAGAATTTTCTATTGGATAAAAATTCTAATATATTTACTTAAAAATATGCGATTTATATATACAAAATAAATAAATATAATAAACATGTAAATAAAAAAAAATAAAAACATCGTTTGTTTTTATTTTTTTTCACGTTACAAGTTACTTTTTATCAAAATGTCAAGCAACGAAACAATCCACTTTACTTCAGATGAAAAACGTACCCTTCTTTTCAATATAAAAAATACACTTGAAATTACAGAGGAAGAGTTTGATAATAGTTGGTGGCCTCTAGTTTCAAATGTTTGGACACAATTTAACTCTTGTAAACTTAACAATGGTGATTCATGGAAGGTATTTGCCTGCCGTTTTACAAAACATCGTGAGTCAAGTACACGAAAAGAAAATATACCAATTAAAAAACGAAGAACAACAATGATTAGACCTGCAAATATTTGTCATGCAAAAATTAAAGTTACCCGTGTGATTTCAAAAAAATTAATTCAAATTGAACGTTACAATAATACTCCAGACCACACACATACATTAATAGAAAGTGATCGTCTTAAACGTTCTACAGCTGTTAGAACATTAGTTATGCAAGAAGCTATTAAAAATTATCCGCCAGTAGCAATTGTAAAGGCTGTTAAAGAATATGCAAATAATGAATTAGATCTTGGTGAAAGTGTTAAAGATTTAAAACGTAAAGAAGTGGCAAATATTAAATATAAATTATGTGGTTCTTTGGAAATACATTTAGTTGGTAGCATTAAATTAGAATCAGATATTTTAGAAACAATATCATATTTAAAAAATCAAGAATATTATTGTGAACGATATTGTATTTTGGAAAAATCTACCTATGGAATTGTTTTTGCACATCCAGAACAACTTAAAAAACTTCACCTTTATGGCTGGTTAACATTAATAGATTCAACACATAAAACCAACAAATATGATTGGCGTTTATTTACTTTATATATTCGAGACTCTTATAATTGTTGGGATGTTGGTGCACATTTTTTTGTAAGTAATGAAGATAGTGATACAATAGCAGAAGCATTAAAAATAATTAGAAACATTTGTAAAAATTGGATGCCTGGATATGTACTTATGGATCAAAGTAATATTGAGGCTAACAGTATTAAAAAAGTTTTTCCTGGATTAAAAGCAGGTGAAAATGAATGTAGAATAATTCTTTGTACAGTTCATATTGTAAGAACATGGATAACAAAAATTTATGAAAAAAAAACTAGAGAAATTATGATTGGAGCAATGCATAAAAGAACAAAAATTGGGTGTGAACAATTTATACAAAATGCAATTCAACAATGCTCAGTACCTGCTGTTTGTAATTTTATCAAAAGAAATTATGCAAAAAATTCTCATAAGTGGGCTCTTTGGGCACGACAACATTCTCCTCTTCTTTTACAAGTTACATCAACAAATGCATTAGAATCTTATCATAGTGAATTGAAAAGAACAACATCTTTTTTGTATGGTTTAATTGGTATGTATATTACTGTACATATATACATCAGGAAATTCTCACGCGTTTTTTTACGTTTTTTCGACTTCGCTCGCGATTTGCGGAACGTAAAAAAATTTTCTACTAAGGTATTTCTAAGATAGAAAGAAAGGCCTTATTCTTGGCTACAGAATGATATGTATTCCATTCCGGTAGCATCGATATTCGCAGAGTTATTCCGGTTTAAAAAAAAACGTCCGTGAAAATTCAGGTGCAAGATTTTCACGGACGTTTTTCTTTAAACCGGAATAACTCTGCGAATATCGATGCTACCGGAATGGAATACATATCATTCTGTAGCCAAGAATAAGGCCTTTCTTTCTATCTTAGAAATACCTTAGTAGAAAAATTTTCTACGTTCCGCAAATCGCGAGCGAAGTCAAAAAAAAATTAAAAAAACGTGCGGATGAAATGTATTTGTATTAATAATAATTTAACAATTAAAAATTTTTTATTAAAAATCTATTTATTTATTTTTTATTAGGAGCTTC